AGATTTGAAATGTTTGAATAGATCTAGTGCGTTTTCCTCTGTGAGATTATGATTATGATTGAAATGTTTGAATATTATCAGTATTAAAATCATAGGGATGACATCCTAATGATTAAAATGCACGACTAATGGTGAAAGGAAATGAAATATAATTAATCTTTCACAGTAGCACTTCGCTGAGACAGGTGAGCCAACTCTTAACTCGAAAACAGAAGTCTGGAAAGACAGAGCCCCATCAGTTAAAGTGAGCCATGAGATCCAGTTCGACAAGATGAACCTGCACCAAAGAAGGAACGCTGTGGCGCAGATAATCTGTCAAGATTGAAGAGCGCCATCTAAACGCCAACAACAACAACAACAACCATACAATTTTAGGGGATTCCCCAGGCCCCCCAAGCTCCGCCATTTTGTCCGGATCCATTAGAAGCCAAAATAAGCCCCCTTGCATAATTCATGAGCCTTATGAATTATGCATTCTGTAGGATGCTCCCCGCGAAAAGTGTACTGGAATGATGTTCACTACACGGTACAAGACAATACGCGTATCAGCGTAATTAGAGAGGTCAAATAATCTACTGTACGGAATTATGGGTAATTTATTCATCATGCTGCGCGCTAGCAACGCAAGTGATTCAGCGAATCAGCGTGGATTATTCTGATGCGTTAATATACGCGCTGTTATTTTTATTCGATATTGTATGACCGTCAAAAATTAAATGATCGTAAAAAAAGACGAGAAAAAAGGCACGAAAATCACAAGTTATTATCTAGAATTTCATTAAATTAGGACACAAAATTAACCAAAGCACTAATTCATTTGCATACATCGATAAACCCTATTGCATTGAAATATTAATATCAAGGTGACGGCTATTTGTCTTCAAATGATAGTCGAGGACGGTCGAGGAGGTGCAGCGTTCTGATTCTGTCTGCAAGTGTCGGCTAGCCGAATCCTCATAGGCCACACCCCCTCCTGTTTTTTTTTTGGGGGGGGGGGGGGGAGATATTTCCCAAATATTTGGTACTTATGAACTCTCAATTGTAATGCAAATGTTAAGTTTAAAATTTCCATTTTTTTTACAACCATGAGTACCTATAATAAATGAAAATAGCAAATATCTTGATCATCCATTAAATCCAAATGGATATGTGTTGCTATGACAACACTTCCAGCTGGCCATCAGCTGATCGATTTCTTCGTGCCGACTAATAATTGATTGGCATCCTCATATTTTTAGTCTATTTGTCTTCTAATTTCCAACCGATCAAGCTTTTTCGGCCACAATGCCTTTAAGATGTTCAGTGAAGGGATGTTGGTCAAAATATAGGACTCAAGAGGATTTGAGACTCCATCGGTAAGTTATGAAAAAGTGGTAGTAGGCGATGCTGCGTGTGTGTGTGTGTGTGTGTGTGTCCGAGTTGGGGGGGGGGGGGTTACAAGTTCCAACAAAATTCTTTTTACCAGTCATTCTTTTTACCAGTCCTCTTCTCTTCTCTTTCTCTTAAAAACAACTTCTATGGGGGGCCAGGGGTATGTCAATTATATTTGATACATTTTTAATTACTTAAATTATTTTATTACTACAATCCTCATTTTCATCGTGATAGATTTTGACCCTTCCTTTTAAAAAATGAAGGTCATCACAGTTCACTAATGGAACATGGCATGAACCTGGGAGCCTGTGTGTGTTTTTTTGACTTGGAGCAAGTGAAGAAGCAAGGTTGGAAAATACGAGACTCATAACGTTTGAAGGCTTCCCCCTTTTTTTTTGGGGGGGGGGGGGGGGGTTGCGGCTTCTGATTCAAGAATACTCTTACGAGCATGATTAACAAACACAAGGCCCTCTTAACTGGCATCCAGGACAATGTACATGTAAGATATTAATGAGTGTGAACAAAAGTGTACAAAACTACAAAATTCAGTCATTTAAAAAAATAATTTATTTCATGCAAAGGTAAAAAAAAAAAGATCAAAACGTCACTGATTACCGGTACTGTAAATAATTAAAATTGACAAAGTCAACAATAAGTTAATACAAGTACAATGTACTACAATGTACTACATGCATATACACGTATGTATTTTTTATAAATTAATCAAATGAGCACCGAAGGTGGACCTGTGTGCTATACAAGGAGCCAGTATTATTATTATTTCTATTTGTGCAAAGCTGAACGTCATAAAGAAAATACACTACTGAAAAAACATTGTACAAGCAAAGTTGACAATCTCACTGATAACTTTTTGAGGGAACAAAATAATTTCAGTCATGGATACAATCACATCGCTTGGGGGGGGGGGGTTAAACATACAGGTTACTAAATTTTTAGGACTTCTTAAAGGTACGATTTCTTAAATTAATAATATCATCGCTGGATAAACATACAAGGTCACTAAAAAAATGTTGAGAACTTCTTAAATGTACAATTAATCTAGGTAATGTCCTTTTGTGCCCATGTTGGCAATGGGACAGGGAGGGGGTTGCATTGTTTTATGAATGTTAGGACAAATAAGGCAATGACAAATTTGTGTAAATTTAGTGTACAAACATCAGGTGCATACAACAAAAATCTGTAGTAATACCATTTAGCAATGTGTCTATCAGTTGGAAAGACATGTAAACTCACCCCCTCCTACCAAAGCCATGTAAAGGTAAAGGGAACCATCAAATTTGACTATTTTTTCAGAACTTGTTAAAATGTGGAAAGGGGTAAATGCTCAATTGTTGACATGGCAGGAGTGGTGAAATGTATTCATTTTTACAAAATACACAGAAATGATTATATCAATAAACTCAGAATCAAGTTTTATATGGGATACAAAGCTCTTATGAAATGATCTTTCTTTTTCCAAGACTGCCAACAAAACCTAGCATTCGCAAAGAATGGTTGAAGGCTCTTGGAAGAACTGAAGATCCAATAACAAGAACATATGTTTGCTCGATGCACTTTGGACCTGAAAACTATTCACAAACTGTGAAGAGGAGATGTCTGCTACCTTCAGCTTTACCTTCATTAGATGTGAGTTACTTTTTTATCAAATAAGTAATTGGAATATCTTTAAGTTAAGTAATTTTTACCCGTAAGTACCTATCCACAAGGGTTTGACTTCTCTCTAATTAAGAGAGCAGTGGCTTATTAGAGAGCAGTTATTATCAAAAACCGTAAATCAAGTTCAATAAAACCCATAACAATTATTATTTTATTTTAAATTTCTTCACTAAGCATAATCAAAAAGATACATAGATTTATAAATGAAACATACAAAATTACCTTAAAATAAGATAAATTTTCACACAAGAGTGAAATTTTCACTTATATTTGTTGTTTTGTGGTTACAGTGTATAACTAAAAATACATTATTATAATCAACTAAACATTTTTTTTAAAAGTTCAGGATCAGGGTTAATAGGAATATTGTAATTATATTATCACTAAATTATGTCCTGATGTATGTTAAACTTAAACGTATGTGTATTTTACTTTAAATTAATTGATAATAGTAGGACCGCAATTATACAATTTTCACACAAATGCACCAGGAGTGTCAATTTTGACAGACACGGTGCATTATAAATGTTCACTATAATTATTATCAATATTATTGTTATTTCATCAATGAAAATTATTAAACTTGCCCAGTTCAGAATTATGAAAAGCCTTTGCATTTTTATGTAAATACATTTAAATATTTCAATCCCTTAAACAATTTAGATGCCAGTTTCAAATCCTATTCCATTCTACCATGAGAGGACACCTGTACCACTTCCTACACCTGGTAACTTGCATGACCACAGCTACACAGTGAGTCCTGGCACAACCAAACGTAAGCTGGAAAGAGCCCTAGGGATAGAGAAGATAAAAAAGCGCAAGGCACAGATGGATAACATCAAGAAATCTATCAAGATTCAATCTTTAAAAGTAAGTAAATTATGTAAGTCCAGAGGCATGGTATGTAAGGGAATGATAAACAATTATCTGAAATCATTGAACTAGCTCACATCATGGAACCAAAATATTTCAATTTATAAAGAAATCTTGGAAATGTTGATAATTTTACAGCTCATTCTTCATAGAAGTGTAATTCTGTATCTTAACAAGTAACATATACATGTATAATCCATGATTCACATGTATTGATAAACTCCGCCAAGACTTACTCACATATGACACAGTTTTTTTTCTTTCTCATCTGAATGAAAGGCAAGTGTGGTTCCAGAATTCAAATATACTCTTTTCCATATTTCATCACTAGGATCTGAAATCAACAATGCAAGACCATGGGATGGAGGATGAAGCCATCCAATCTACATTCGACTCTGTCCATGGAAACGCATATGTCATACTGTCGAATCAAAATGTAAATAGTGACAAAATTTCTGCCAGAAGATACAGCCAAGAACTACTCAACCTCTCTTTAACATTACATTACTTGTCCCCCCGCTGCTATAAATTTCTAAGAACTATATTTGCCCTGCCATCCGAGGTGACACTTCGAAAGATGTTAGCATCTGTAGATGGTAACCCAGGATTCACTACAGAATCAATAGAAACATTAAAATATATTAAAGACAACTCTCCTACTCAATTACATTGGACCCTTATGATAGATGCAATGTCTATCAAAAGGCAGGTAGCATATGACAAGAACCGCGATTGCAATACCGGATTTACCAATATTGGCAATTCCAAATCGAAAGGGGAATTGCCAGAGCCGGCAACACAGGCATTAGCGTTCATGGTGGTTGGGATGAATATGCATATCAAACTAACAGTTGGATATTTTCTTGTGAAGAAGTTGTCGGCCCCTTTTCAGGCTAGCCTGATTAAGGAGTGCCTACAACTTCTTCACGAGAAAGGCATCCAAATCGATGCCATTGTTTGTGATGGTGCAGCTGTGAACAAGTCTACTATGAGCATGTTGGGAGCAAATCTGGATCCTAATAATCTAAGAGGAGACTTTCCCCATCCATCAAATGGACACCCGATTACCTACATCCCCGACGTTTGCCATAACCTGAAATTGCTCAGGAATCTTCTTGGAGACAAACAAGAGTTAACATTCAATGGTACAGAAAAGGTACGTGATTTTTTTTTAATCTTTAAACAGAATATAAATGTTAATATTTTGTTAATGGAAGAATAAGGTGTATGAAGTATTTAATATAATAAGGACCAAATTAAACTTTTTACTATGAAAACAGATGATACAGTCCTTCAAGTTCAAAAGTATCAAATTTTTGTGAACCCTTCTCCAAAATTTCTGAAGTATATGGATGATAATTAAAAAAAAAAAACTTATTTTCATGATTTCTATCAAATCTGAATAAACATTTCATGTTCATCGTTTTGTATAATGCCCACGGTGTAGACATAGATATACACATACTGCATAAAGATCAATTTTAATATAACAAAGGAAATATCCCTACACCTGTTTATAGTACTTGACAAATCTATACAATTCATTTTTTAATAATCGCTCTATTACATTGATGAAAACACAATAATGATTTGTCTCCGTTACAGGTCAAGTGGAAGCATATCAAGAACTCCTATGAAATCCAGCAGCGTGAAGGAATGAGGGCTGCAAATAGGCTAACAGGAGACCACATTGACTACTCAAAAGCAAAAATGAAGGTAGTGATCATTCATATAGTCTTTACAGGCTATTGATTTTGTTAAATACCTTTTGGCAGGTTGGGTACATTTTGATAAGAACGATCTTTCACATAGTAAATATATATAGCATTAATATAATTGAGATCACCTCTAAAAATTTGAAATAAATGATATTCTGATGTATACAGGACTTACAGGCACATGTCATTATCTACATGTGATCCCATTTAAATTCTGGTAAGACTACCTTTGCACTGTAACGCATGATGTTCTATGCATTCTTCCTTTTTTGAATCAAAGCACTAATATTGGCACTTGTACATAGATAATTTTTTATTCATGATTTCTTGATGAAACCTTATATTCTTTGTTTATCCATTTTAACTACTTATGCATAATTTCATGCAGGTTAAATATGCAGCCCAGGTTTTTAGTAGCTCAGTAGCTGCTACAGTTGACATCTTAAGGCAACTGCACTTTGAAGGATTTGAAGATTCGGAAAGCAGTGCCTATTTCCTACGACAGATCGACAGGTGAATAAGATTAGTGTAGAGAGTACAAAAAGTTAAAAACTACTTTATACATAAAGACATAATTTAGCCCTTTACACATTTTCTCCATATATCTTTTTTGTATTAACCAGGCGATATGATCTGCGTTCTCAATGACATATTGAGCTATTGTGGAATAATTGCACAATGCATATCGTACTGCTTTTACAAAATATCCAGCTTGTGATAGGTATTGTATCAATAGCATTGAGTCGTAATTATATGTGTACAGAAGGGTGTTAAATGTGGCCAATTTGATGTAAATCTTATATTTTTGTTTAGATATTGGTACACGTTTTAAATGTCGTACCCTTCAAAATACTGACATAAATACTGTTTGATAATATACATATCAATAACAATCTTTTGTTATTTATTGTTATTGATTCTTTGCTTATTCACAATCATCAAAGTACAATTACAAGTATGTTTTTAGAAAAGGCCAAGCTTTATGATGACGTTTAGCCACATACGTATCTATTCTTTCTGCAGCAACCAGGCAAGTAGCCAATTTGAAGTTCATGTACAGGAATAAGGATATTTTTATTGGAAAAAACAAATTCCTTGGTTTGCTAATGTAATAATATATATTTTGTTAGTCTTAAATTATGATAATGCTTATTGTTGCTATTCAAGTGGAAAGTATATAATTGTGAAATGGCCTACACATGTATTGATAAATGGTACTAGTCTTGAAAACAGAAATAATTAAATATTATTATTATTAAAGTCTCAATAATCTCTGATTGACTTAGCCCTCGGCAGGGCCTAGGGAGCATGAGGAATATTTGCGTGTGTCTAAAGATGTGGCAGTATATTTTGTCAGAGAGAGAAATTGACCATATACAACATCTCGTTTCAACATTCAACCATGTAACGTCGTAACCTGTTGATTATTAAAGACTACCTACTATAGTATACGCAGTAATGTTTTTTTTTTTCCATGTTGCCGGAAGTTAGTCTAATTTTCTCAGACATCAAATTGGATCGTGGGGTGAACAGAATAAAATAATGTGAAATTGTAGGCGCATCTCACTATTATCACCCGTTTTATTTCGTATATTTTTTATTTGATTTTATATACCTCACTTAAGAAATCCAGCCATCTGATTGGTCGAATTGCATTCATAAACTTCAACTGTTCCTGTAAAATTCCCGGTAACCATGCTTAAAACATTTCAATATTTTTAATAACCATGGTTATTAAAAAAATAGGTCAGTCTCCATGGTTACCCCATAGGTTTACATGTTAAAAAATGGTTTGAGCGATGGAGGATACCATACGTGTGCGAAAAATTGGTCGGCAATTTCAATACAATTGAATCTCGATCGATCTTACCGACAATTTTATCTTGCATTGTTGACATGAAGACGAAAATTAACTCTCAAAAACAAAAAAACAACATCTGCCGATAGATCTTGATCTAAGTTCGTGCCAATATGCATTGCAAAAGTAAAAGAAGGGTCCGTTTCATGGAGCTTTTGCGAAGCATCCCTCACGCGGAGCCGTTTTCAATCCATTTTAATGTATATATTGGAAAAAACTGCCAAGCATGTTAACGGCGCGCGATAGCCGAGTGGTCTGAGCGTTGGTTTTCGATGCACCTCTTGTTGTACGCAAGAGTTCGAATCCCGTCTTCGACAAAAATGTAAATTATTTTTTATTTTTTATTTTTTAGTCTATTTTTTTTCGGCATATAAAAGTATTAATGACTGCTTTAATATTCGAGAAATAGTTGTTTTCATACGCTCTCGGGAAGGTTACAATTGGGCTATTCCCCTCGGCAAGCCTCGGGGAATAGCACAATTCTAACCTTCCCGAGAGCGTAATAAAACAACTATTTCTCTCAAAGCAGTCATTAATACTATATTATTTCTGCATATTTTCCAAATAAAATATAACTGAATAACAAAGAACATAAAATACATGTAAGGTATAATAAAACATAAACAAACAATAATTTCTTAATGTCAAAATGTTTTTTGTACATAATATATGTACATATAATAACGAAACTTATTACTTCCATAACATATTATCATAAATTTAAAGTATTATCTGAACTATTCTGTTGGAAAAGTGCAGGAGACCGCAATCATAAGCAAAGCTTAACATTTCATTTATTTGGTCGCTTTATTTGTTCAGCATAAATTTTAGTTTCGACCATTCATCTAAAACACAGCCACATGTACATGGGTATCGACGGTTTCAACACTGCTAAAATAGACTAAGGAACAGTTCCAAAGTCTTAACATTACCATAAACTTTTTTTTTTTAATAGGATAATTTGGGCCTATTATTATACCGGTCAATTTTTATGTTTTTCTAAGACTGTTGTTCTAAATTGCTATACTCATCAGAATAGACGTTGGATTGGAATATAACATTATTAAAGTTTATGATGGAGAGAAATGACGATGAAATAATTATAGGAAATAATGTTTGCGTCAAGCTTGTGAAAAGACTATTGCAGTCTAAATATACACGCCAATAAAAACTATAAAACAACAACATTATGTGATCTTTCTGATGGACACCACGGAAGTTCCGTGATTGACACACGAGCAACGAGGGGGGGGGGGGGCGGGGGGTATTGAGCACTGCTTTTTTTTTTTTAAATCAACACCCCCACCCCCTTTTTTTTGTGCCCACCCCAGGGGAGGACGCCCGTCTTCATTTTGATTTGAAAACAGTTTTTTGGCCAGGGGGAGGGACCCCCTCTCCCCCCCCCCCCCCCCCCCCCCTTAGATATGCCACTGGGGATAGCCGTAGGGTCGACGGTCAGTTGGAGTCGAGATGAGAGTCATGAGACACACTTGATCAGCTTAATGTCACAAATAGCGGTCTGCGTGTGCTTAGAACTAGACTAGTCTATTACTATTAGTTCATCGTCGATCCGTCGTCCCATGCCCTCCTCAGAGACAGACCACGCCACAGAAGCCGCTAAAATGGTGTTTTCGAGATGTTTTAAGGTAAGGTTTGTTTTGGTTTTTCCTTAATTGTCAATAAGAGTAGTAGATTAAATATATATATATCTTATCATAGCTTCATTAGTTGAAACTGTGTGCTTCTAACGCAGTATCCAGACTAGAGCTAGGGAAAGCCCCAAGCCCAAATCACCACCATTGGTTGAATGAATTGAGCCCGGCTGCGCCCGCCAGGCCGCCTGCCAGGCCGCCTGCCGGCGGTGGCCTAAGAAGATGAGACTATAACTTCGTTAGTCAGTTAATTAATGCATTTTAGTACAAGTACTCGTCAATCGATGAGCGCGAACCTAGCCTGCATGTTCCTGATGTTGGACCGATGAAAGCCTTGCCTTTGCTTTGCCTTTGGTCTCTGAAAAGTCTGATATCAATGGTTATGGTTGTTCTGCTATAGGACCTAAGTTAGACCTACTAATTACTACAGTGTAGGCCTAGGCCTAGACTCGGCTTAGCTACATGTAGCCTATACTATAGATCTAGATCTAAACATGATAAATAACTACGTCAGGCTCCTCCATATTCACTGACTGCCTCTATACAGAGCTGACTGAGTGTGGCTGTGGGGAGCTCAACAGGGAAGGGTAAGAAGTGCCCACTACCCCCCCCCCCCCCCCCCCCCATGAGCAAACAAAATCCATATGATACAAGTACGCTGGTTTATTTTACACGTCTGGCGTGAGGTTTTTTCATAAACCAGGAGCTTGCGGGAGAGCAGGAGGAAGGGCATGTTGGCGAGAGTCTCCTGCTACGAGCTGGTGGGACGGCGGGAAAAGGAGTGTGGTGGCATATGACTCCCTCCAAATGCGGGAGGGTTGGCAGCCCTGGGTTATGCAATGCAGTTTGTGTGTGCATGAGCGCCGTACCCATCCTGCACAGATCAGTAGCTTCACAAACTGGAGCTGGACAGATACAGTAAGCTGAAAATAAGTCCATAGATCTACACCTCTACAAATGAAAAAAAATACAAATGGAAAGAATGCAAACTGCCATTGAAGAACGTGATACTACAAATACACGCAAAATCTTGTCACTCCAAGCAAACGAGCAGGAGAATTACTCACGACGGAACTGAATTCAGTGTACAATTGTAAGTGCTAACAATATGGCACAGATGCAATCATCCTCAAAGCAGTCATTGAGACCTTTGGACTTGGCATCTCTCTCGCCAATAGACAGAAATAACTGTCTGGTATGTGGAATTTTGAAATAAAACTGACATTTGTCAAACTTCCCCATACACCGACACATTTACGGTTATCCTTGGCATATGCACAATGGAGGGGGTTGGGGGGGGGGGGGTCAATTAGAGATTTACTCCAGAATCTAGACAAAATGATATAGAAAAAAAATGATTGAAAACAAAATGAATCTAATTTTCTTATACCGGTACTATGAAAATAACATTAATTGTAGAACATCGAAATAGAAGGACTTACATGTACTTTCAGCTTATCTGATGCTTTTCTTGAAGCTTCTGTGCGAGTTAAGATGGGTGATCACACACAAACTGCATTGCATAGCCTCCCCTCACTAACCCGTACGTATAGAGACAAAATCTTGCCCAATTACAGCTAAATTCAACTTGTATACAAAGTGCATTGGTCTTTGAGTGGAAGAAAACTTACTGGAAAAAATCAATCCAAGAAGACCCTATCAAAAGAAAAATGCTGGTCTGCTATCCGCAACAAGATCCCATCCTAAACCACTGGGAGGACAAGTCAGGATGAGTTATTGAACTCATCCCCTTAATAAATTATAACAAAAATGTAAAAAAGCTAATCTCATGCAAAGAAGATCTTGATCATTTGCCTGCAATGGATAATTTAGATACATACCCCCAACTACATATTTGGCTGGTACATATCTTGTACAATGAACCATAGTGAACATTTCCCTTGCAGTTTAAAGCCCCTCTAAAGTGTTGGGAGCCCCAAATTTGCCAAAAATTTGATGACAAAATTTCACTTAAATTGTATCATAATGTGAAAGAC